ATTCCAAGGCCATAAATTGAAACGGTTCAGTTAACGTGAACATCTAGAAGTAGTACCCTTCTTTATAGCCTTCAATATAGTGACTTTCGCGTATAAATGTCTCCTTAACGTCGCCTAACTATTTATTAAACTTACTCACTTATTAAAAGATAACAGTTTCTTTTCTCGTCCCAAACCCATAGTTGTTAGCTATATTTGGGTGATCAGTGTATTATTATGTAATGTAAATTGAAACTCAGATTATTTAGGTTCTATCACATATAACCATAAGTTTGAATTTCAAATGATAAATTAAAATATTATGAAAATAATCATGATCAATGTTAATGTTAGAAATAAAATACAATATTACATATCGCACCTCCGCTCAAATAGTGTCACAACTCAAAAAAAGTTGAATTCAATTTTATTGCACTATTGGAATCAGAAAACTTCGAAATCTTATCTCAAATAATGTCATGCCCATAGTTCAACTATTTATCCATAGATGTCAATATTTCGTAAATTATTCGTTTTTTTCATCCGTTATTCGTTATTTTTTTTTTAAATATATTCCAAAAGTCTATTACACCATTTTGTTGAGTGTTTTATGACACTATTTGAGCGGAGGTGCGATATGTTAAAGTAATAAAATCTAAATAATATTCCGAAAAAATATATATTACTTGCTTACATTAAAAAAATGGTGGTTTCGAATATGGGTTTTTTAAAAAGTAGGGGTAATTAATTTTGACCTGTTTTTTTTATTAACTAGGGTAAGATTTTTCATTTTTATACAATAATGTAATAATTAAAATAGAAATTTTAAATAATTAATGTAAAAATTATTGGCCCAAGTCACATGTATGAAACTACGTAATATAGCTTTGGAATGATATTCAAAAATTGGAAATATCAGCGAATAATTGATTACAAACAAATGGAATTAAATGTAATGAAAAAGAAGAAATAAGCTTAATTGAATTTAAATCAAAAGTATGTTGTAGTTCTCCCTTCAAAAGTCAAGCAACTTGGTTATTAAATTTCATAAAAAAACAATTGGATGCAGAAATAAATATTATGTATAATTTGTTTCAATACTATAACAAATATTTTAAAGGTTGATTTATTATTGAGAAAGTATTTTAAAAATGAATTTCATCTCATCTTCCCGCTAACGAGTTTAATAAAAAGTTATTTATTCTATAAAATCAGACTACATAAGAGAACGTGACTAAAGAGCATAAAACATAAAAGGTAATTCAGCGGATCCTTAAAAAACTATCTCATTAAAGTAGTATCTCAAACGTCATGGCATTTTTGTTTAAAATAATTAAAAAATCTTTCTAATGCTTTTTGCCTATTTGTTTCTGTTTAAATAACAAAATATCAATTCAAATAAGTAAATAATAGATTTTATAATACAACTAGCTTTCCGCCCGCAGCTTCGCCCGCTTGGAGTTCCCTTATATCGTGTTTTCAAGAGAACCTTTCAAAGTCTGGGATAAAAACTATCCCATGTTCATTCTCAAAGTCAACTCTATCTCAGTACCACATTTCATGAAAATCAGTTCCGTGGTTTAGGCGTGAAAGCGTAACAGAGAGACAGACAGACAGAGCTACTTTAGCATTTATAATATTAGTAGGGATACTTAATGTCCGAATTCTTTAAACAAGCTTTCATATGACAACATAATTAAGTAGCAACAATTTTAGGACTGTAGTGACTTCCTCGGCTTTGTAAAGCAGATCGTCCGCAAGTCTGACAGGAGTGGGAAAAGACTGAACTCTTAAAATCAATTATTACAGTTCCTTAATATATTTACAATGATTAATTAAATAATTGTATCATGAACAATAGTTAATTTTAAATGTAATTTAACAGTAGAAAAGTTTGTGTCTTATATATTTCTTATATTAACGATGTAATTCTTTTCGCCGTATAAAATGAATGATTTGAACCTAACGGCTTGAACCCAATACTTCTATTGAATAATCATCACTCAAGTCGAATATATAATATCGAATAAACAGGATTTTTTAAAATAAAATTTAGAAATTTTTCAGATCTTCTAAAGATGGAACTAACAATGTATATTGCCTTCTTTCATCGTGCCCAAGGACATGTGTCGCGTATAACATTAAAGGCGTTGTTTCATTTTAATATTTCTAACAAAGGACGTGTCATTGACTTATCTACTCAATTTTATTGTTATTTCGTTTTTGACATAGGAAAAGAAAAATATACTTTTTCTAAAGTAATACAACGAAAACGAAACATTGCATTAGTTTTGAATTAAAGAATCGAATTTTGACCAACAATTTAAATTGATAAAAAATGTTTTTTAAGAATGATGTGATTAAAGAGATTACATTAAGTATTCTATGAAACGTTTTTAATTACTGTGATATAATTGACAATGTATAGAAAAAGTGTTACTTACTTATCTATTACGTAGTTTGATTAACCGTTTACTTCTAAGTAGGCATGAAACATATTTCTCAGAAACGATATTGAGACTCAGTTATTTAAATTCTCGTTTTATTTCCCTTTGTTTAACCAGGACGCTTAAGATTTTCATTGAAATAATTTATATCGCCTATTCAAAGATCTTATTTAAAATAAAAATTACTATACGAACTTTACTATCACACTAGCTTCGAAATTTTAACTAAAGAAATAAAAAAGACTACATAATGTTTGTACTTGAACCTATCACGTACAAACATCATAGTGATAGTAGTGCAAAGCAATTTCTCATCGTCTCACTTTATTAATAATGTAAACATATCTTGAACAACAACGGCTTATTCCTATCCTAATCAATTATAAGTTAATTTGTTTTTACTTTATAACAAATAGCAACATGTAAAGAAGAACACAATAACTAACGATCAATTATGAAATAAACTATTGAAGACAAAGTTCTTTTCATGAATGTTATCATAAGAACCTGACAATGTTATAAAATAGAATGGAATGAAATGAACAATAGAATTGACTAAAATATAAGACTAGTTAATAACAAGTACCATTGTTGTATTATGTATAAAAAATATTATTTTTTATGTCAAAGGTGGCAAACGAGCAGCCGGCCTACATGGTGTAAGGTAGTACCGTCGCCCATGGACATCCGCAACATGTTTGTTATGGATGCGGTGCCAACCTTGTTTTTTTAGGAATAGGGAGGGGTGGGAATAAGGAAATGGTAGGAAAGGGTGGGAAACAGGAAAAGGGCAACCGGCTCTCTCACTCATCGGACGAAACGCAGCCACTAAAGGCTGCATCACGCCGATCTTCTGTGAGAGGGTGGTACTTCCCCGGTCGAGCCAGTCCATGTTCGAGCTGTAGTAACTTACCACAGCTAGGCTCTACCACCTAAAGAATATATATAAAAATAAGAAACCATATATTATGAGATTCATTAATATTAGATTTAACAATCCGAGTAAGGATTTAAGACTACGAAGACAGATGAAGATGTATAATATATACAATAGTATTGGAGACATTATAACTGCTATTTTCGAATGTAGAAAACAACTTTTGTTTAAATATTCTTCTTGACAGTAAATAGACGTGTGTTGCCAATATAACTCATATCACTGTGATTGTGCCTCATACTTGTGTATTACATAAAAAAAGTCATCATGCTCTCATTACAATCTTAAATGAAAAGTGATTCGAAGTTATCAGTTTCTTTTTACTAAATAAAAAAGAACATCAACACGTTTTTATATTGTCTGACTTGATAATATTTTATACACAGGAACATTTTTTTTAGAAGATGTCTGTAGCTACAACATATTTCCTTAAATAATAATAAAAATACGCTTTAACTATATCAGCGACGATAATTCTTTTTATTCTGTTACAATAACGGAAAAATCTTATTTCATTTCTTATATCCACTTACGGTGATTTGATTCGATCGACTGTTTAGGACACTTCATGTATTGGCTTGGTTGATGAAATTGTCGCAATAGAATATTTATTAAATTACAAAAACTCTAATAAATCTAGAAAATTAAGAAAAAATAAAGTATTTCTAAATACAGAGAATTATTACATAGGATTTTTTTATATATAATAGGATAGACCGTAAATATAAACATCGATAAAGAAATGGATCAAGTTTTTTTGAACTATAATTTGTTTGGGTTATTATTAGTTGTTTGAACTTTTGCATCAATAATGCCTCCTTAATGGAATAAAATATCAAAATAAACTAGTCGACATTTTCTTTACGTCATATATTGAGTGTTCCGATCAGTAACATAAGAGAATTAAGATTTATATACGTTTTAAGTATAAACGTCTATCCTAATTTAGCTATTTTCGATAGATATTAAAAGGACACATTTGTTTTAATTTTTGCAATGAGAAAGTAGAATGAGAATTATGGAAACAATAAAGTTCATTAATTATGTTAAATAAAATAAATACTTTTGTAATGAACTTATGCGGGAGAAGTCAAGGTGTAAACTCAGGAAAAAAACATTTTTTTTTTAACAAAGTCAACATTTTAATATAAAAAATCCAAAAAAAAACAAAAGTCTCATAAATATCAATCAGTCGTCGTCGAGCTGTCATTAGCACCGTACGTGTTATCGGGCACTGCGTGATTAGCAAAATGACAACTTCAATAACGGCTGAAACTTCGCGAGTTGTAAAGTGTACAAACTGTAATATTGTGATTAACGAGCTACTTTCGTTTGTGTGCAATAAACTGGATGTGATGGATGAAGAAAGCATAAGCAGAATTTGTATTTCCGCGTTTTCTGAAGAGGAAATTTGCAATGCAAAAACACTATTGTTTGACTCCATACCTACTACCAAACGAAAGATAAAAAGAAAACGCGACGGTAAGAAGTTAAGAGATATTGATGATATCATTTGTTTGTTAAAGGAGACTGATCCTGAACAAATCCCAATTTTTGTTGCTAAGGATTTACAAAAACTTCCACCGGTTCTTTTTGACCATGTTGATGTAACAAAGTTATTAAAAGACCTATTGATAATGCAAGCTGAAATAAAACATATTAAGGAAAAGTATGCTACCTCTGAAGATATATGTGATTTGAAGTTGGAAGTGGAATTATTAAAATCATCATCGACATCTTTAAATCATTCTAAAAAACTTGAGGGTAATAAACAAAAAGTACCGGATTCGTGTGGCGGTCGATCAGCTGAGTATTCCGTTGCAGCGGCGATAAGCGCGGAGGACAAAGCCGTTAGGACCGTGACTCATCACACACCTGAGCGTAGCGGTCAAGCGAGTAAATCGTTACATACGGACGCCGGGAACAAAATAAATAATGCATTTCGAGAAACATTTTCGCATGTGTTGCAAAATGAAAATAAAACACAAAATTTTGGTACAAATGAATGGACGGTCGTTAAACGAAAGAAAAAGTTAGCCTACAATAGATTTGCTGGCAATCGAGGAGTAGCGACTATTAAACCGGAAGCTAAGTTTAAGGCAGCACAGGTATGCGTGCCTATGTATATTTATAACGTGGACAAAGAGGTATCTGAGAAGGATATTATGGATTATATTCAGGAAAAGACAGGCTTACTAATAAAAATAGAGAAAATGATAATGAAAATACAAAAAGAATATAACAGCTACAAAATATTTGTTCCTAAACACAAAGAAAGTGTCTTGATGAACGATGAGTTCTGGCCAGAAGGCATCTCTTATCGGCGCTTTATTGACTTCAAAAATAAAAATAAAAAAGACTCGGATATACGAGTTAACAATATATAACTAAGTTATGGATAGAACCGTAAATATGATTAGTTTTAATTGTAAAAGTGTAACAACATCTTTTGACTGCATTAGGCGACTGTGTGTATCGGCGGACATCATAGCACTGCAGGAGACGTGGCTGTTACCGCACGATATTGCTCTCCTAGGAAATATACATAATGATTTTGCATATACTGGAACTTCGGCTGTCGATACTAGTGCTGGTGTACTTCGAGGTCGACCTTATGGTGGTGTGGCCATACTGTGGAGGAAGGAGTTGTTTTCGTGTGTGTCAGTTGTCCGGTGCGTAAATGTTCGCTTGGCGGCCATAAAGGTAACTTTGCAGGATAGGAGTTTGTTGATTTTTTCGGTATATATGCCTACGTGTTGTGTTGACAATTTAATTGAATTTACAAATTGTCTCGGTGAAATAAATGCTATTATAGTAAATAGTGACGTACAAAGTGTTTACATGTTAGGAGACTTTAACGCACACATTAATGAGTTGTTTTATAGTGAACTACTGAGTTACTGTAAGGATCAGTGTTGGTACTGTGCGGATGTTGATCTGTTACCGCGTGAGTCGTACACGTATGTCAGTGAAGCCCACGACTGCGAGCGCTGGCTCGATCACTGCGTTGTGACTGAGGCCGCGCGTCGTACGATATTACGTGCAGAAATACTATATGACACATACTGGTCGGATCATTACCCCTTGCTCATAGAATGTAAGATAGAATTAATTGAACCTCACATTGTATTACCTAATATGAGTCGTAGCAAAGTATTTTGGGGTGAAAGAGATGTTTGTCAAATTAAAAAGTATCATGAGATGTGCCATGCTCGTTTAAAACATATTGATTTTCCACCAGAATTAAATATGTGTGCAGATACTATTTGTTCTAATCTTGAACATAAATGTATTTTAGATAATATGTACAGGGAAATTATAGCGATATTAACCGAGTCTGCAGAACATAGTGTAACAAGTATTAAGAAAAATATTTATAAACCGTTAATGGGATGGAACAAGCATGTTAGAGTAGCTCACGCGGAGGCACGGTCTGCTTTTCAAGTTTGGTGTGTATATAATAAACCACGATCAGGATTATTATTTCAAAGCATGTGTAATACGCGTACTATATTTAAAAACAAACTGAAATGGTGTAGGAATAATCAAACACAAATAAAAATGGACATTATTGCTGAAAATCACAAATGTAAAGACTTTGGAAAATTTTGGAAAAACACGAATAAGTTGAATTACAAACCGAGCCTCCCAGTGAGTGTAGCTGGTGAATCTGACCCCTTTACTATAGCTAGTCTGTTTAAAGAGTATTTTAATGTGGAGACCCCACAACAACCAGATGTTTGTAGACCATCGCTGGTGCGCAATGCTGAGGAGACATACCTGGAGCGTAAGGTAAGCTTCTCAGCTAAAGAGGTGACTTTCATAATCAAAAATATATGGAACGAGGCAAATCTCCAGGACATGATCATCTCAGCATTGAGCATCTGCGATATGCAGGTGTACATTTGCCGAGAGTACTTTCCATGTTTTATACGCTATGTTTGGGTCATTCCCATTTACCTAATGATCTAATGAAAACGCTAGTCGTACCTGTACTGAAAAATAGAACAGGGGACACAGCTGATCTCGCCAATTACAGGCCGATTTCTCTCGCCACTGTAATGGCTAAGATACTGGATAGTCTGCTTGATACACATATGTCATCTCGAATTGTATTGCATGATGCGCAATCTGGATTTAGGCCTGGATTATCAACTGAAAATGCAATTATGTGTCTCAAGCAGACTGTGCAGTATTATACCAAGAGAAAAACTCCAGTAAATGCTTGTTTCTTAGACCTATCAAAAGCTTTTGATTGTGTATCTTATGATATATTATTTAGTAAATTGCAAAATGAGAGTACTGTTGATAACTCAGTCATATCGCTATTTAAATATTGGTATAGTAATCAAACGAATTATGTTATGTGGGGTGGATCTCTGTCTAGTATGTATAAATTGGAGTGTGGAGTAAGACAGGGGGGGATTAGTTCTCCTCGTCTCTTTAATTTATACATTAATCAGTTGCTCGTAGAGCTCAGCAACACACATGTCGGCTGCCATGTCAATGGTGTTTGTATAAATAATATTAGCTACGCAGACGATATGGTGTTGCTGAGCCCGACGATTAGTGCTCTTAGGCAATTGTTAAATATATGTGTGAAATATTCGAAGACCCATGGACTGAAGTATAATTCTGTTAAGAGTGAAATATTAATATTTAAAGCCGGCACTAAGAGTTACTCAGTACCACCAGTCATATTGAACGATGCACCGCTTAAACGAGTAACGCAATTTAAATACTTGGGACACTGGGTCACGGAAGATCTATGTGACAACCTAGATATCGAAAGGGAATGCAGGGCACTGTCTGTTCGATGCAATATGATTGCTAGAAGATTTGCGAGATGTACTGAACAAGTTAAGATAACGTTATTTAGAGCCTACTGTCAATCATTTTATACTTGCAATCTTTGGGTAAGCTATACACAGAGGGCATACAGTGCGCTGCGTGTCCAATACAACAATGCTTTCAGGGTGATATTGGGGCTGCCACCATTCTGTAGCGCTTCTGCGATGTTCTCGGAAGCAAGAGTTGACGGCTTCCATGCTTTAATAAGAAAGCGCGTCGCCTCTTTACTAAGCAGAACGCGAGCCAGCACCAATAGCATCCTGAGGGCATTGTGCGATAGATGGGATTGTCCTATGTTGTTGCATTGGATCGGTCTCCATACATAAATATGGGTGAACGCATTCATTTATTTGTTTGTTTTAATTTGGTAAATTTAATTTTATTTCAAATCCTTTAATTTCATTTCAATTTATGTATGTAATTTCGATATGGACTTGTCTGAAATAAATCTTATTATTATTATTATTATTATTAAAATGGTATTGCTAATTTTCACTTAATCACAAACAAAATTTGGTAAGTATATATTTCAATGAAAAATAGTGAAAATGTCCGAATAGGATACAAAAAGATACATCTTGACGTTAGCTGACTTTCTGTTTAAATTAAGTTAGAATGCTTAAACAAATAAATCTCTAGTAAATTAAAAAAGTGACAAAGACTAAAGGCAATACTCCAGATTAACTGGATACTAGAAATTCACCGACATTACCTATTGAAACAAATGATGATTACAATTCCGTTCGCTAAGTCTGCAAAGCTCGCAGAATCCCGTGGTTTTGAATGTTTTGCTCACCTTCCCCGAAAAGTGATAATTAAGTTCAATACGCTGTCCTATTTAGCACACAAACTAGGTGAAATGGCATCGAATTCCCGAAACTAACACAATTCTACACCAGATTAAAATTTCACAGTGAAATGTAATTTAACATTATAATGCGTGGTGCAATAAATGATTACTAAAACTGAGAAACAATTGATATGAAAGAATTTTTGTTTCGACAGAAATATACAAAGATAATTGAATTTGTTCAATATTTAATGGTATACATGTATTAAATAAATGACATCAATTATGGAGACTAGAAAAATATTATTCGAGAATTTTCAAAAGAATAATTCGATAAGGTATTAAAATTTAATTAAAAAGTTTGACTTTTTAGAAATGCTGAATGCATCATAAACAGCATAAATTCTAAAGAACTTCTTCCTCTTGTGTTGGCATAAATTAAACCAAACGATCATTGAAGGTTGTTCTTTTAATTATTGTTTTCATAACTTCTACAATATGAAATTCTACTAAAATCCTTAACGAGAAAACCAATAAACAAATGCACTATGCAATATTTACTGTGAAAAAACTTTTCTTCAGGCGATAAGTGTATGAAAATGTACTTACGTTGTAAACGATGTTGTGACGAACAATATTCATCTGAAAATTAAGTTTTACATTTAGTAAGTATATAATTATAGATGAAGTATAGAACAAAATTATATCTTTTTGAGGGAGGAAGCAAAATTAACAAATTATTCAATTATGCCGCACGTCTTCGTCTGACTCCCATAACATACGAAATTGAACATCTGAGTGGTTTACTTTAGATCCAATTATTTAAATAAACAAACGTCAACTCCTTCTAAATGAATCTTATTTATCCAGTCTCCAGATCATTACATATTAATGTAAAGTAGTGAATTGAATACTTATTCAAGTATCATTACTTCATATTATTTTGGAATTTTCATACTTCTATATACACCAGCCCCATAGTAACATTGCCAATACATTGCTATGATTTTAATTATGGCTGAACAAATTATCGATAAAGTGATAATGGTAAATCTAAAAGGGGTAAGCAATAAATAGTATTTATGGCATCATGAATAACAAAATCGCATTACTATATTTTTGAAGCAACTAATACACATATGCATAAATTTTAAATGATAACAAACAATACTATGCCAAGTGTTTTGAACAGCAAACAGTGTCCAAAAAATTTTATACAGGTATGGCTTTTTGGTGGTAAAATTTTTTTTTAACGCGAGGCGTTACAGTACTTAAGAAATAATAAATACGTAGTTAATGAGAATTGTGACAAAAAAAAATGAATGAGAAGAATGTAAATTATTTGTAATTTGATTAACAGCCAACACATGAGGAACACCATATTAACCATATTGATATAAAAATCATAATGAAATAGAAACGTGTACACTGTTAGGTTGTTTCGTAGATTAAATGTTAATTTTTCGAGAAATTTGTATCTATCAAGAAATCTTCTTATTGAAAGTTTTTCTCTGTCTTTCCAATAAAAGTTCTTTACAAGATCTCGTAAAAAAGAAGGTACGACGAATTGAATCTATCAGTAGAACTTATTCTAGACAACTTCGGAATTATGACTAAAGCTTCGTAATTCGATATTACGTAAATAACGGGTACAAGACGACAAGAAATAAATATTTGTATAAGTAATACTATAAATTTATTGTAAGTTCTTATATATAAGTATAAGGACATACTTAAGTAAAAGGA